CGTGTATATATATATATATATATATATGTGTGTGTGTGTGTGTGTGTGTGTGTGCATGTGTGTATACTGGTCATTAGAACCACGTTGTTTTCTGGACAAAGCAAAGAAACTATATTTTTGTCCAGAGAAGGGGTGAAGTTATTTAAGTGATGAACCCTGATCATGTAAGAGTATTTTATCATGTTTCGGAGGCCTTTTTAAAAAATTAAGTTTCATAATCATGAAAAGTTGATATATCTCAAGTTTAGGCCACAATGTATTCATGCGATGTGGTATACCCTACATTACATCCTGGTTTGGTTTCTGAAAATACTGTACAGCTAAAGTCTCAGAACACAATAAACAACACATTTTTAAAAGTATTGCCTTTTTTACAAGCATTCATAGGCTTTCTTTAAAAGCAGGGACTATTGAACCAGCCACATAGGGGAAACTGACTCCACATGGCCAGCAGGGCAGTTCTAATCCTGGGCCTAACAGCTTGAAAAGCACATCGGGCACATGGCGTGTGGGCCTACATCCCAACAGGATAGAAAAATGGACAAGAAAGGTTTGTGGTGTGATCATGCTTCATTTCAATCTCTGGTCTCTCTCAGACAAGTCTTTATGCCCTTGGTCAATTAAAAAAAAAAGAAAAGGAAAACATGTTTGAAACTCTTAGGAATTTTTGTATTCCCAGAGTTACAGACTGGGGTCCCTGGGAAGCAAATGCTCAAACAGAAATAAGAGTGCCAAAGACCTCCTGGAGGTGGTGTCATTTCAAAGTGGAAGGAGGACAGAGCACGAGGTATTGGCTAGGGGTTCAAGAGGTTGGGAAATAGGGTTCTCCTCAGTGGGAGGAGCTGCAAAGTCCCATTGTAAAGAGTGTGGACACAGGAACAGTTGGGTAATTGGAAGCTTTCTTCAATCAATCCGCAGTGAACTCCATATTTCAGAAAGACCTGCTGAATGAACGGGTCTTGTTCTGCCCTGGCCTATCACTTGGCATATGGTAAACTAATCACTTGATAACCGTGTTCATTCTGAATCCTTTGTGGCTTCACTGAGGCTCTGCAGAGCATCTTTTTGTTAGCCAGGACAACAATAGCCATGGCTGTTATTGAAGGCAGTAGCAAGAATCGTTTTTGACTTGTCTAAACTCTACTGATAACACTACTAACTCGTGCCCTGGGGCACCTGTGAAGTGGTGCGGTAAAATGATAATACCTCATCTTGGTGGAAAAATGATTGCAAAACTGAGTTTTACCAAGTATAAAGTACCCCTTGAATGTGGAGTACAGTATTTGTACATATTAGATTGAGCCACTATGAATACCAATCTTGAACCTGCATAGGTAAAAGTCTGTGAAGCTTACAGTGTGATTCTCTCCTAGAACATTCAGGGTAAGTCCGCTCTCACATGGTAATAGCAAGCTCAAGGCCACAGAAAATGGCAAAGTTTGTTCAGTTCTGTGTTATCTAAATAAATCAGCAAGCACTAAAGCCAGGAGTCCTGGGACTGTGTCGGTAAACAGGTTTTCTGGGCGTCTAGAGCTGCAGATGGTGATGTCCCTGTTGGAGACCTTGGCAGGATACCAACCTCCTGTTTTATAATACTGTAAATCTCTACAGGATATTGCATGTACATTATCATTACTTGTAAACTGTATTTATTGGCGCAATATGTCATCTTCATGTGGGCTCTAGAGCTTCATTTCTTTTTTTCTTTTAGAAATATGACAAAGCAGGACTTCAACAGGAGGGCGTTGTATGTTCTGTTCCAGGCAAGGACTTCAATTGAGAATTGAAGTGTGTTTTTTTAATTGAATCAATATGTTAACAACTGGAGACAGGGGTTACTAGGGAAGAGGTTTTATTGTGCCCCCTCTCTGCCATAGACATTTGCAATTAAGTCTCAATACAAATAATTTGTCTGAAATAACTTACAAATATATACATATATATATTAACTTAATTTTATTTATTTATTGTTATTATTTTTTCAATTTGACCAGAGAAAGACAAGAAAGAGAGAGAGAAACTGGGAAACCAAGCCACCAGGTCCAGGACTCGAACCGTGATTGGCCATGTGGGAGTCCAGCATCTTAACCACTATGCCACTTGCTGGGCCCACAAATATATGTATTTTTAAAGTTTCTTTCTTTCTTCCATAAGTGAATGGGAGAGAGCACCCCCGGCAGGATCCCCACTCTGCGATCCTCCCCCAGCCTCAGCCAGCCCTAGACCATGGCCATGCGTGTGCCCCATATACTCAGGGAGGTCTCTGGACATGTGCCCACCTTCCTATGTGGGTGGGCCTCACAGAGTGTTGGTTTTCTGCCACTGCTCCACCCTCTGGCCTCACACTGCAAACATGTTCTACCAGAGTATGGCTTGCCTTGCATTATTTCTTGGGATCGGTTCCCAACAGGCAATCACTCCTCTATAGCAACACCCATCTATCACTGTACCTACTCTGCTGTAGTGTAAAATATATGTTCATTCCTCCCCCACCCCTGATCTAAGCTCTTCACTTGGACACTGATTAGGTTTTCAAGAAAAACCTTTAATGGTCTCTGCTGCAAACTAATGCCACGAATACATTAAAAATAAAATTGATCATTGTAGGCAAATGAAAGGATTCTAAGCCTTCCCTTCTGTGGCTTGTTCCTCCAGCCTAGACCTGTGAGTCCTTAGGGATATAAAAGCTCTAGGCAGGGATCAGCAGATGGCGTAATGATTACGTCACTGGACTCCTACATAGTTGACTGCAGTTCAAGTCCCAGACCTGGCAGCTTAAAACTTATACTGGACGTATGTGCATGCATGCCTGAGAGGAGAATGGAGGAGAAGGGATTGCAACGTGGCACTTCTGTCTCTCTCTGGCGAGTGCCCTATAGCAAAAATCTCTCATAAATAAATAAATAAATGCTCAGGACCAGCAGTTGGCATAACGGCTATGTTGTTAGACTCCTATGTAGTTGACTGCAGTTCGAGTCCTGGCCCCAGTGGCTTAAACTCACACCGGGTGTGTGTGCGTGCGTGCCCAAGATCCTGAGAGGAGAATGGAGGAGAAGGGATTGAGGTGTGGCCATCCCTCCTGGGGGTGGGTGATTTTTCGCTTTCTGTCTCTCTGTCTCTCTCTGTCTTTCTGGCAAGCACACACGTCCTGTAGCAAAAACCTCTCCAATAAATAAATAAATAAATAAATAAACAAACAAATAAATAAATAAATAAATAAAAGCTCTAGATGGAGTCCACTGTTCCTTGTGAGACAATTGGCATGGTTTACATCTGGCACTTAAATATCAAGACATCAGCATGTACAAACCCAAGTCTGCACTGTAGAGTAGCCCATGCATTGTGAAGGCCCTTATAGGCTGATGTTTTGAGTCCACGGTGGGTTTCGAGTCCAGGAGAGACAGATGCTTTTCACGCTATTCAGCTAACAATGGCGGAGTAAGGACTGGAGCCACACTAGAGCAAGTTGCGTTTCTTGTCTGCTGTGGACTCACCAGCATCGATATGTCTCGTCAGGGCCCCAAGGCCCCTGGGTTTATTTGCAAGCCAGAGTCAACCTCACAATGGATGTTCCACCTGGTCAATCTTATGTATCAACCTCGTTGTTTGGTCAAACACTGATCTAGATGTTGCCGTGAAGGTATTTGTCTGATGAGATTAACATTTACATCGGCTGACTTTGAGTAAAGCAGAGGACTCTCCGTAACATGCACAGGCCTTACCTAATCAGAGAAGGCCTTAGAAGAAAAGACCGAGGTCCCCTCAAGGGAAAGCACTGCCTCCAAACTGCCTTCGAACTCAAGACCTCAACACTGACTCCTGCAGGAATTTCTAGCCTGTCAGCCAGCCCTACAACGTCAGACTCGTTGGCCTCAACAACTCTCTTATAC